GAGAGAGAGTGGGGCGGTACGTGCGGTAGTAGTCAGTAACGAGAGTGGACAGGCAGGCAGTGAGGGACGACTCAGGAGGACGAGGAAGAACAGACGGAGGAGGACGAGGAGGACTAGGACGAGACAACACGGTACGGAGGTCAATGACAGGTGACGAGGGATGAGCACGAGGAGGACGAGAGGCCCAAGTGTGGGCGAGAGGAGAGGGAGACGGAGGAGACTGAGAACGAGGGAACAGAGCCAGAGCTGAGTCAGGAAGAGGAAACGTAGGACCGAACACAGGAGGAGAGGAGGGGAGACCAAGGGTCCGAAGGCCAGAAACAGGGGCCGGAGGCTACTCCTGCTGTTGCGGCTATTGCTACTGCTGTTGCTGCTGTTGCTCCCGCTGCAACTCCAACCTCTCACGCTCCACCCGCTGCTGAACCTCCAACCTCTCACGCTCCAAACGCTGCTGCTCCTCACGCTCAAGACAAAGATGGGCCTGGTGTCGAGTTGGGTAGGATCGAGGAGTAGGAGTAGTGTCAGGAGATGAAGAAGAAGAAGAACCGGCTCCGCCCTCGACAGTACCCGGCTGAGCACCCCCAGAGCGAGTACCCCCTGCGGCAGCACGACCAGCACATGTAGTAGTTGTACCCACACCTCCAGTTGTGGTGCGTCCAATGGCACCAGCACCAGCCCCAGACTCTCCAGCTCCAGAAACACCACCAGCTCCAGCACCACCACCAGCTCCAGCACCCTCTGACCGGGCAGCTGCGGCAGGTGCACGCTCAGCGCCAACGCCAACACCCCTAGAACCGGCGGCTCTTGTAGGTGTACGAACAGCTCCAACGCCAGCACCCCCAGAGCGAGCACCGCCAAAGTCCTTAACTCGAGCACCAACACCCTCAGAGTCCGCAGTGGCCGGTAAAGGAAGCGCCGGCGGCTGCTGTGGAGGCTGTGAGGACGACTGAGGGAAGGAGGAGAGACCTGAGGGGGTACCGAGGGGGGGGGGAGTAGCGTGGGACACACCAGACGGAGCGGGAACAGGGGGGGGGTACCAGAGGAGCAGGGGCGGGAGGAGGAGGAGCTGGAGCCAGGAAGAGGGGAGGGGGGGGAACCGGGAGACCTCGACAGGGGTACCGGACGTAGTAGGGGACGGACTCGTCGAAACGGACGTCACGAGAGTCAAAGAACCGGTGGGAGGGAGGGTGGTAAAAGGTGAAGTCAGAGGAGTCCTCTGGGAAACCAAGGAAGACACAGGGGACGGCGCGAGGTGAGATCTTGCTTGCAGAGGTGTCACGGACAAGAGCCAAGCAGCCCCGGACACTAAACCTCGACGCAACACCAGGGGACCCTGTCCAAAGACTGGTCGGTGAAGCCCCTGGCCGAGAGACGCGAGGCCAGAGGTTCAGCTGGTGAGCGGCGTACCGAGCCGCGTAGGGCCACAGAAAATGGGGCGCATGGGCACGGATCATGGAGGTGCAGGCAATCTCCATGACTAGGCCTAAGCGACGCTCAGCAACCCCATTGTGCTGTGGAGAGTCTGGAAGAGTCCAGGACTGGGTGATGCCCTGCTCGGGATAGAATCTAGTGAGAACGCCGGAGCGAAACTCACCCCCACGGTCGGAGTGGAGACAACTGACACGACGACGGCGAGTACTCTCGGTGGCGAGCAGCCACCGGATCAGCGTAGAAGTCACGTCGGACTTCTTCGCCAAAGGGAACACGGTGGTGTACCGAGAGTAATCGTCAACGACCACCAGAAAGAAACTCTCTCGCTCAGGGCCAAGACGGCGAGCGGGGCCCCAGACGTCTAAGTGGAGTGTCTCGAAGGGCTCGGTGGCCGAGCGAAGGGACGAGGAGTGAGGGGTGGCGCGTAGCCGACCCTGGACACAAGGACCGCACGGAGGAGCTGGGGACGGCGGGAGCGGCGGGAGGACTCGGGGGAGGCCTAAGACAAGACGCTGACTGGACATAGCGCGGAGACAAAGGAGGGACGGTTGACCAAGGCGGTGGTGCCAGAGGAGGGAGGGGTGGGCAAGCGACCGACACGATCACGGCGCAGCAACTAGACCGGACACAGCAACCTGACTGGACCCGGCTACCTGGTGGGACGGAGGAACCTGACGGGGATCGGTATGGAGTGTGTACAGACCGGAGTCCGGCTCCTGGCGAAAAGTGGCCAAGGGGGCGTACGTGTCACCGTCCACACAGACCGCGGTGTCACCAGAAGGCTCAACCCAGACCCCGACGTGCTGTCTATCAAACATTATATAGATATATTTGTGTAGGCTACAGTCGGTTTAGCCTTAGGGGGTACACAAGATTAGGGTTTGATATTTGTACTCTCATTTCTCTTAGTTCAACATTCCTCTTTCCTTTCACACTGTCTCGCCAGGGGGCCCACACCAACCAGGTTCCTAGAGAACGTAGGAACGTGGAGGCCAGTCAGGGAACCGGAAGGGGCAGCTGGGCACGGGAGTGTAGTGGCGTGAGTCGCAATGACCGGTCCCGAAGAGGGATCGGCCAGTGCTATGGAGACTGGCGCCGGGATGGAGAGAGAGTCGTGCGGTCGCGGAAGAAGCACTGCATCGCTCCTGAGTCCAGTGTGAAGGAGAGAGACGCGTCCGCCGAGGGAGTACCTGTACTAGTAGCTAAACAAGATCCTACACTAGCACCTACACTAGCAGAAGGCAAAGATCATAAGGTAGGTACAGGCAAGTATACGGATCTAGGAGCACTATAGTCAACATCAGCATACATGGCATAAGACCTAGCATCATCCATAGTCATATAAGAAATAGGGATACCACAAGCAAGAAGTGTCCCCCAGCGTGGCGGTGGCGGAGCGGAGGGGCCGTGGTGCAAACGGTAGAGGTCGTCGAGACGATAGAAGCAGCGTGCAGTAGAGTGGTCAGGGCGGCCACAGTACGAGTCCCTACGTGGACCCGTAAGGATCCAGTACTCACAGGGACCAACGTCGCGGGTGGCTGAGCGAGGTCCCCGACTGGAGGGGGCGCCACTGCGCCCAGTGCTCGGGGGACCCGCAGACCTCCACTGCTGCGGGGCTGAGGCTGCTACTGTGGCGGGCGCTGCTGCTGTCCCTGCCGCTGCTGCTATCCAAGCGGTGGCAGCTGCTGAGAAGCCGGCTGCTGCTGCTGCTGCTGGAACCCCTCACCACCAGTGAAAACTCCACCGTCGAGAGGAGGGCCGTCAGGTCCCGAGCCACCCCCACCACCACTCCCACCACCTGCTCCACCGCCACCGCCACTACCCGCACCACCTCCAGTACCCCCGCCGCCCTTCCCGCCCTTCTTACCGGCCTTGCCACGTTTCTGTCCGCCAGAGACAGAAACAGCCGCCGTCTCCTCAGAGGCAGAAGACGTGGGGGTGGCAAGTGAGGCAGTGAAGGTGGGAAGCTGTGGTACCGCACACCCCTCAAAAAGACGAGGAGGAGGCGCGGAAGAGGCAGAGGCAACAGCGAGGAGGTTACTCTCGATCTTCGAGAGAGCAGTCTCAAGAAGATCGATGGTAAGCTCAGTGGGGTGCTTCAGAAGAAGCGCGTCGCGGGCTGTGGCTAGGCGGTCAGGGAGGCGAGTGACTAGCCAGTGAATAGTGAGCCACATAGGGGGCGGGGCAAGGGCAAGCTGGTCCTCAGTGCAAGCAGCGCGAAAGCGAGCGTCAAGGGAGCGAAGGTGGGTAGCGAGGTCGGAGACAATCTCAAAGGAGGCGAGGTCAGGGTAGAGAAAGGGCACGAGGAGACGATTGAGGGAGGCAGAGGAGGGAGTGGAGTAGCGAGCAACAATGGCCTGATATAAATCGGCGGCAGACTCGACATGAGTGAAGTGGACCACCTCTGTCGGCGGGAGAAGGTCGGTCAGGGCGAGGCAGGCAGCGGCGTCACGAGACTCCCACACGTCGCGAGCGAGGAACTGGCGCTGGTACTCGGCCTCCTGCTCAGGAGTAGGCGGTGGGGTAGTGGGCAGCGGTTTAGGCTACGGAGGGGCGGTCTGAGTACCGGACGCGTGTGCGAACAGGTCAACGCCATCCTACCGCTGGCTCTTGAGGTGGCGCTGGGCCTGCGTAAGCCACGTACGAAAGTCAATCGGTCTCCCCTCAGGGTCAAAGCGAAGTACTCGGGAGGTCGCCATAGGGGGCGAAAGTGAGAGAACGCGGCTGCCAGCCGCGGGAGGGTGAGACAGTCAGTGGCGTGTGGGCAGGCGCGCAGGCGTGCAGGCGGGCAGGCGGCGCGGCATGCGGACAAGCGGGCGGCGAGGCGCGCTGGCTGGCGGGCGGTGCGGCGCGCTGGCCGGCGGGCGGCGCGGCGGGCCGACGGGCAGGCGGCGCAGTGCGCTGGCGGGCAGGCCGTCCGTGGCGCGCTGGCGTGGAGCACTGGCGTGCGCGCTGGCATGCGCGCTGGCGGATGCGCTGGCGTGCGCGCTGGCGGGGCGCGCTGGCGTGCGCGCTGGCGTGCGCGCTGGCGGGCCTGTTGGCTAGGGCGCTGGCGGGCCTGCTGGCTAGCGCGCTTAGGGCAGACGGGGAGGAGAGAGAGGGGGGGTAGGGGGTGGGGGCACGCCAAGGCTAGAGACGGCCTAAGGCTAGGAACGGCGGAGACTGGGTGTGGCATAGGAACGGCGAACCTATTGGTGATACCATCTCACAAATTGAAAAACAGCGGAATGAGTTGGATTGATTGGGTTGGGGTACAAATACCTAACCCTAACTGTTTGTACCCCATAAGGCATAACCCATTAGAGGTTATAACATTTGACAGTTTCTAACACCTCTATAGTACAGCCCAAGCTAGCCTAAAAAAATACTCATGCCAATGTATATGTGTGCGCTGGCAAACGGTATTAAATAAATCAGTAACAAAAAACATACTCCACACTCCACTCGGCTCCAACGCTGAAGCTCTTACAGCCTCCCCACGGTTCGGAAACAAGATAAATCGTAACCCAAGGCGATTGCCATCCTGGTGTTTCAAAGTCTTTCCTCGATTCCTTCCTGGCATGGCTTTGTCAACTCCCTTGAACCGTCGATTCTCTTGTGCTTTCTCCTCCGGCAGGTGAAGTCAGACGTGTGACGGGTCCTCCTTTCCCTGTCCTCAACACCCCTGCTGCTGGTTGTGCTGCTGCAGACGGCAGTGCAGCAGAAGCATGCACGAGTAGACCCTGAGACGACTGAGGCGGAGGAGCAGCAGAGGAGGCGAGGGCGAGTTTGAAGGCCTGGAACTCGAGGTCGTTGGGCAGCCCCAGGCGCTTGCAGAAGGCCTCGTCCGTGGGGGCTAGGAGGCTCAAAGGGAACGCTGTGGAGGGCAGCGGCGCTTGGGGTGGGGGAGTTGGAGAGGAGGGCCCTGAGAAGGGCCGGGCGGAGGAGAGAAAGGCGAAGGGGTGCGCGGGTTGGGCCGGGTGCGGGGCCGGCGGTGGTGGCATGAGAGACGTGTCTGTTGGCAGTGGCAGCGCGGAAAGGGAACTGGGAGTGGCAGGAGATGAGGAAGTGGCAGCACGGGGTGAGGCGGGAGGGTCGTGAGCAGGTGGCGGGGAAAGAGGAGACAGCAGCTGAGGAGGGGCAGCAGTGGGTGCGGAGGCGGCTCGGCAGCGCAGGTAGAAGAGGTGGCGCGGGCGGATGCGGGTGTGCAGGGAGAGGGAGAAGTAGGCGGGGAAGGAGACGATGGAGTTGGGGGAGCCGCCGAGATGGCGGATGAGGTAGTCGTACTTGGGCGCGAGGCAGTTGGGCACTGAGAGCGAGAGGATCTGATGCAGGGGGGCAAAGGTGTGGTTGGGGGGGGGGAGGAGGAGGGAGGGGAAGGAGACATGGGAAACCGAGACAGGAGAAGGGAAGAACGGGCACAGGCGAGAAAACGGGGAAACGAGGCGTTAGAAGAGGGTGGAAAGCAGATGGGGGTTGGCACGAAACGCTGTTGAACACACCACCGAGTAGGCAGGCGGAAGAGCACACCTGGGGCAGGCGGAAGAGCACACCTGGGGCAGGCGGAAGAGCACGTGAGCGACATCCCGACTGGAGAGGCCGATGGCTCTGAGGAACGCCACCCGCGGGCGCACAGCGTCGTCCAATGAGTAGTGCAGCAGCTGTGGATGGCTGGTGGCGTGTAAGGGGGTTGGGGGGGAGGGAAGGGGGACATAACGAGCAGGGTGACGTGTGGCGCAATGGATGGATGTGACACATCATGGTGAGATGCACGATAAGAAGAGTGTGGAGGTGGCATGCCTAGTAGCATCGCACTGACCGCACGAGCATGGAGGCGAATGGAACAGGGGTAAGTGCCAAGGTTTGAAGAAGCGACTGATGTCAGCACCTGTAAAGCTAGTTGTCAACGCGTGATGGAGGGGATGGCACTGACCGCACGAGCATGGAGGGGATGGCACTGACCGCACGACCATGGAAGCGAGGGAGGGTAGGGGCAGCGCGAGGTGGTGCAGGAAGTAGTGCAGGCGCGGTACGAGGCCGCCCTGCACGCTCTGAGTGAGCACCTGCGGGCTGCGCACCACCACCTTCACCACGTCCTCGTCGCAATCTCAGCTGCAGCGCATTCTGGGGGGGCACGACGGGTGGAGAGAGCAACAGATAAATCAACACCATCATTTCGACTTTTCGTACTAGCCTGTATCCAGCACTGCTGGTTAGCAAAGGAAACCCAAACGTACAATGTAAGTGTACAGCAGGGGCTTACCCTATCTTGGGGTTTACAGTTCCAAACTTGCTTTGGCTCCCGATGTTGGGTCAAGAGATGATTGGCTAACCATACTGTTGTTCCGCACTGAAGTCATCCCACCCAACTTATCTGTGGAGACAAACAATCGTAGCCAACCTCCTGATCAGACTTTCTTCCCCCTCCTTCCCTTGCCCAACACATATGCAGTCATTTTTCAGCAATACCTCATCTCTCACATATGAGAGTGTTGGCTCACCTTCCTCTGGAGTGTACGACCACTTAACCATTGTTGAAAACATCATGCCACACCACAACGTTCCTGCAGTGCTGTGCTGACCAACAGTGGTCTCCGTGAGCTCATCCATATGAGAAAAAGTCTTGCCTTTCCTGTGCTTCACCCCCTCAACCGCTTGGAAGCTGTGTTGTGACGCCCTTTGTACGGCCGAGTGAGGGCCATGCAGACAGGCGCCCAGCACGGAGGGCAGCGTGATGCAGCGAGAGGTACGCCTTGGGCAGGTTGACGGGCACACCAAGGCAAGGCGATGCGAGGCACAGGGCAAGGCAGGGGCAAGGGGCGGGCGACGAGGGGCGAGTGGCGAGGGGCGGAGGGTGAAAGTGGGAGCGCACCTGCAGGAAGCGGATGCGCGGGCGGAGGGCGCGGTCCACACTGCACTCGAAGATGCCGGGGGCGAGCTGCACCACACGCGCCACACGGTCAACGGGCACGCCCAGGGCCAATAGGAAGTCGACACGTGGCGCCATGCGCGTGTCAACACGGTAGGTGAGCAGCTTGGGGCAGCGCGCAACGAGGCGCGGCACATCGGTGGCCGGCAGGCCGATGGCGCGCAGATAGGCCATGCGCTCCCGCGCCAGCGTGGGGGACGTCTGGAGGGAGGGGGGAGGGGAGGGGTTGAGAGAGAGACGGGTGGGGAGTAGAAAGGGGCGGACGAGCACGTGACGAGAAGATGGGCGCGACGTGCGATACTCCCACCCTTCCACTGTGAGTCCCACCCTTCCACTGTGAGTGTGATACTCCCACCCTTCCACTGTGAGTCCCACCCTTCCACTGTGAGTGTGATACTCCCACCCTTCCACTGTGAGTCCCACCCTTCCACTGTGAGTGTGATACTCCCACCCTTCCACTGTGAGTCCCACCCTTCCACTGTGAGTGTGATACTCCCACCCTTCCACTGTGAGTCCCACCCTTCCACTGTGAGTTCCACCCTTCCACTGTGAGTGTGATACTCCCACCCTTCCACTGTGAGTGTGATACTCCCACCCTTGCAAATACCACTAAGCCTGGTGGGCTCACAGTGAGCAAGGGTGGACTCACGGTGAGCAAGGGTGGACTCACGGTGAGCAAGGGTGGACTCACGGTGAGCAAGGGTGGACTCACGGTGAGCGAGGCGCAGCGGGTAGAGGCGAAGCGCAGCAGGTGGGGCAGGCGGAAGCCCTCCTCCAGCAGACACGCCACCAGCGCCGCCTGCCTCGCCCTCCTCACCGCCTCCCTCCTCGATGGCGGATCCGTCACCCCCAGGGGCTGTGGGGGTCGTGGTGGTGTTGGTGGAGGGTGGGGGGGCAACAGGCAAGCAGGCATTGCGAGAGAGTAAGTTGGAAAAGTGGCGTCTCGTGAACTATACGGTGGCTCCGTGGCCGGGAGGGGTTGTGGGGTTGGTGGGTGAGGAGGGGAGGGTGGAGGGAAGGAAGCAATGGGAGTGCAGTTAGAAGTGAAAGGAGGATGAGGGAGGGGAGAGAGGCGTGGGTGGAAGAGCGTGCAAGGGCGCTGGTTGAGAGATCAGAGGTGCATGCGACGGTTGAGGGGTGATGCACACAGACAGCGGCATGAATACCCACTCAAGCGTGCGCACACACACAACACACGTCCCACATAGACACACACACACCCACTCACGCACCTCAGACACACGAGCCCACACACAGCACACACAAACACCCATCACCCGTAAACCCCCCCCACACACGTGCACGCACGCCCTCATGCACACGCACCATGCCATGCAACCATGCACTCACCCCCTCTCCACACTCACCCCCTCTCCACACTCACCCCCTCTCCACACTCACCCCCTCTCCACACTCACCCCCTCTCCACACTCACCCCCTCTCCACACTCACCCCCTCTCCACACTCACCACGCCCGCCAGCCCGCCAAGCTGCATCAAGGCGGATGCATGCCACCCCTCGCCCTCGCCGCTGCTCGTGCTGCTGCTCTCACTCGAGTCCACCGCACTGCTGCCGACACTCATCACCGCACTCCTGCTTGCACTCCCCCCCTCACCGCCCCTCGCACTGCTGGTTCCCTGCCAGTCCTGCAACCGATGCTCGCCTTCCCGCCCATCCCTCTCCCCCGCCTCGTCCATCATCCCTTCCCCTGTCCCTTCCCCTCTGGCCAATCCTGCGCCTCCCCATAGTAGGCTCCCCCTGTCCGCCCGTTTCGCTCTGCTGCCTTCAGCAGCAGGCATCACACGTGCGGGGGACAGGGGAGCCGCAGAGGCAGTGGGAGCAAGGCGGTGCGGGGTGAGAGGGGTGGGTACGCGGGGCGCATGGGCGGCCGATGCTCCCCCTGCTGCACTGCTCTCGGCCCGCCCGCCCTCCACCGCGCTCTCGCCCCCATCTTCCCCCGCAGGGCGCGCTGACAGCCGCGGCGGCGGCAGCAGCTGCACATGGCGCGCCCCACCCTCCCTCTCGCGCGCTCCCCCCGCGCCACTCGCCCTCCCCGCCACCCCCCCGCCCGCCTCCTTCCCGCCGCCTGCAGCGCCCTCGCGCCTCTCCCTGTCCTTCTTCTCCCTCTCCTTTCCCGCACCCCCCCGCTCGTCCCGCGCGCGTTCGTCCCGGGAGCGCGCGGCGAGCAGGAGGCGCTTCTTCTGCGCCACCATGGCCATGGCCTGCGCCTCCCACTCCGCGTGCGACAGCCGCGCGAACTTGCTGCTCGCCCCGCGTCCCGCCCTCTTCGCCACCTGCGGCCTCGCGGGGGCATCCCTCGCCTCCTTGGCCCCATTCGCCTGCCTCCCCTCCTTGCCTTCCTTGCCCCCCTTGCCCTTATTAACCTCTCTCCCCTCCTTCCCCTCCCTGCCCTCTCTGCTGCGGGGCGGTTCTCTGATCCACCCCGAATCGTGGTACTCGGGCGGGGAGTCGGGGGAATGCGCGCGCGACGGCGGGGGGAAGACGCCGTGCAGGGACGGGAAGGGCTCGATGCCCGTGGCGCGCACGCGCTGCTCCATCCACCGCTTCAGGTCGATGCCGCCGCCGCCACCGCCGACGCCAGCGCTCGCATTCTCAGCGCCCTCCTCACCTTTTGCGGTTTCCCCGCCTGCCCTCTCCTCCGCTGCGGCTCGCGGCCCATACGCGAGCGGCATGCGCACTGACAGCGGAGGCGCAGCGGGTTGGGGAACGCATAGGGGCATTCGCGGTATGGCAGGGGAGAGGCGGAGAAACATGGCGGATGGGATCCCGCAGCAGGAGATGAGAGCGCAGGCGGCAGGTAGCCGGAGATGGCGTGCTGGTTGCGCTGTGCCGTGTCAGCGGGGCGCTGCGCGCACGAGTGGGGCGCTAAGGTGCGCGGTTAGGCGGTGAGCGCACGTAGGGCGTAACAGCGTGCTGGCGGAGCCCGGAGGGCGCGCTGGTGGCGCGGAGTTGGCGCGCTGAAAGCGGAGCCAGGTGACACGGCTGACTACGATGGCGATGGCGCAATGGTGGCGCAGACGCGGGCAGCGATTGCTTAGGAGACTAGGAAGGAATGACGACTAGATAAGAGAGACGCCAGTATATGTGCTAGGATACGAGACGAGGAATAACGCCCGCCAATAAAACGCCCACACAGTACCCACTTGGTCAAAACGGGAGTGGTACAGAGGCGCAGCGAAAGCCCTTGAACCCTTCGTCAACCCCTAGGCGTTACAAGCAAACTCAGGGTGGATCACAACGTCACCACACACATTGAGCACAAGCAAAGGGCCACAAGGCCAGTTCACATGCAGATATGCAACAACAAGAGTACAGTGATCACTACCTAGCATGCAGGTATATATGTATAAATCACAGTACAAGCAAAGTCAAGAAGTGAGCAAGTGAGACGAAACTGGCACCAGGCCTAACAGAGTGCACAAACGCTAATGATCACCAGACGGAAGCACCTTGGTGAATATATCAGCAGTGTTGGCCCGAGTGGCCACGTGAGCAAGACGAAGCTGACCACGCTGCTGCAACTCTCGAGCCAGGAAGTAACGCAGAGCGATGTGCTTCGTTCTGTGCTCCAGTCTGTGCTCCTGACACAAGGCAATGGCGGCCTTGTTGTCGACGTACAGAAAACGGAATCCTTGTGGAGGAGATTTTCATGGCACAGCCAGAGGGGTTTGATGACGGTAGCGGCAGAGTGTGGAAGCTGAAGAAGGCCCTCTATGGGCTGAAGCAGGCCCCTAGGCAGTGGTACTTGAAGTTGCGCAAAGTGTTGGAGGAGATCGACTTCACTCCCTCAACGGCCGATCACTCCTTGTTCATGCTTGGCGAGGGGGAGCAGAGGAGCTTCATGGTGGTGTACGTGGATGACATCCTGATCTTCTCACCCTCCTCTGACCTTGTGAAGGAGGTGATGCTGAAGCTTCAAGACAAGTTCAAGTGCAAGTCCCTTGGGGACGTGAACTTTTACCTTGGGCTCCACATGGAACGAGACGTGAAGAAGCGGTGCATGCGGGTGCACCAACGCAAGTACCTGGAGGCCTTGGCTGCCAACTTTGGGCAGAATGAAGGCCATGTGGCTACACCCTTTCCCTCTGGGTTCAAGTGTGTGAAGGGACCAGAGGAGGAGAGTGTGGGTGAAGAGGAGAGGCGTCGTTTTCACTCATCGGTGGGCAGCCTCATGTACGCGGCAGTCAACACACGACCGGATGTCGCGTTTGCTACCGGGCAGCTGGCAAGGGTTGTTCAATGCCCTAATGAGGAGCAGGTAGCAGCTGAAATGAGGGTGGCCAAGTATCTTGGCCAAACACCGACCGTTGGGCTGCAATACTCGGCAGCGGCACAAAGGCGCCAAAAGGGCGCGGATGGTGTGGAACCCGGGCGTTTGTTCCTCACCGCCTACTCGGATGCTTCATATGCATCAGAACCAGAGGACATGACAAGTGTTGGAGGGTTCATTTGCTGTGTTGGTGGAGGTCCAACTGCTTGGGAAAGCAAGAAGCAGGTTGACCAAGCTTTGAGCTCGGTGGAGTCCGAGTACATGGCACTCTTCCGTGCGGTACGGGAGATTGTGTGGCAGCGGCGTTTGTTGGCTGAATTGGGGGAGGAGCAGCAAGGACCTACCCCTCTCTATTGTGACAGCCAGGGTGCCATTGCTCTAGCCAAGAACTCTGTGTTGCACGGCCTGACCAAGCACATGAGGGTGAAGTGGCACTGGACGAGGAGCATGGTGGCCGCGGGTGAAGTTGAGTTGCGCTACGTGAAGACAACAGGGCAGCCAGCTGACATGATGACCAAGAGGCTGGTGGAGCAGCAGCATTGGAAGTGTTGCAAGCTGGCTGGGATGGCTCTGAACTGAGAGAGCAAGATCCTAAGGCCAACAACCCGAGGGGGAGTTTGTTGGTGCAACCCTACGGTTTGCACTCGGCTTGTTGTCCGTGTGTGTGTGCGTGCATGACGTGTGTGCATGGAGTGGTATGAGTGCATGAAATAAATATATATTTCATGCTTATAATGGTGTGTGAATGATGGGTCATAATGTCGAGTGTGTGTGTCAAGTCAATAGCGAATTATCGCTAGTCGCGTATAACGCGGTCATTTTGTGTGTCCCGCGCGGTTTCTATTTTGTCGTGCGCGGTTTCTATTTTGTCGCTTGTCGAACGTTCGGCATGTCGCAGGTGTGTGCAGCAGACCCATCAAGAACTCAAGGATGAGTTTGTGATGAAGAACCCGAGCCTTGGTTGCAAGCTTCAAGTGTTTTCGAAGCTCGCCAAAAGGGTACACCTCAAGATATTGAAGATAGTTACATTACAATGTGTAGTGTAACATTTCTCTTGGTGTAGGCCCTTGTGAAGGGTAGTTTCGAGACCCTTCCTGGTTGGGGACAGTGTGGCACTGTTCCACATCACTGTACCTCGGCTCTTGGGATTTGTATGAACTGGGAGCCATTCCCAACTCTTAACCCTTTGTATTTCTTCCTAATTGTGTGTTTCTAAGACTATGTTGCTGCCATAGTGCCGTTCGTTCAATCTGACGCTGTGTCGTCAATTCTTGATGAAATCGTGCGATCTAAATTGCCTATTGTAGGCGACGTTAAGACGCTCTAGATCCATGTCGAATGAGGTCGTTTGGAGCTGTGACCAGATCGCTATGAATGTTTAAAGCCGCTGTGCAGAAATCTGACAGCACACTCTATCTTTCGTTCTAGGCCCATTGGAGCCTATTGTGATCATAACAAAGGCGCTGTAGCTGGAGGTTCTGGATCTGCTGGAGGCGCTGGTGCTGCTGGTACTCGTACTAGAGGTGCTGGTGCTGGAGGAGCTGGAGCTGGTGGTACTGCTCCGCGGCGACCGTTCTTCGCTTCGCCGTCACCGCCGTCTCCGCGGCGAGGTTCTTAGCCTCCTGTCTTCTACCGGCCTTACTCCTCCCTTCCTGTGTCCACCACCTGACCAGTCGCAGCCACGGCTACAGCCAGACTCTCCACTGCCTGCTCCTTCTCCTTACATTAAGCTGAAAGATTCACTTACAGAGCGTCATGAGCCTGCGTCTCGTCCTGCCTCGCCTGTTCGCGCTGTTCGCACTAATCGCCGTGTTCCTCGTCCGCGTCCTCCTCCTGTCCCTGGCACTCACACTATGACACTTCGTCCTTCCTCCATTCCACAGCGTGTCCCCCTGCCATCTCCTCCTGCGTCCTCTCTTCCGCACATTCGAGACCCTGAGTCTGACTTGGTTCGTGCTGCCAGCCCTACTGTCACCCTGAGTCTGACTCGGTGCCCTAATATCTCCTAGCCACTATTGTCAATCACACTTCGTTTGAGTCCATTGTTGCGTCCGCCTTAGTCGCTAAGCTTGTTGACTTTGCTGCTGCTTGTCGTCTTGACTACGCCGCTAGTCTTGTTGCTGACTCTAAGTTTTACTGTCCTCCGTCAATTGAGGGTGAGTGTGCTCTTGACACGGACGTCCTTGAGGACAGGCAGGAAGACTTTGAGTGTCTTGCGGCTGCTGTACCTCATCTCGTGGCCATGCTGCTTGCACCTGAGGGAGACCCGCGCTCTTACGCAGAGGCGATTTTGGGTCCCTACTCCTCTCAGTGGCAGATAGCCATGGACGCAGAGATGGCATCCTGGACTTGCACAGGCACTTACGTCGACGCAGTTCCCCCTCCTGGGGCGAACATAGTCGATGGCATGTGGATTTTCAGGGTGAAGCGGCCTCCGGGTTCTCCGCCTGCCTTCAAAGCTCGTTACGTTGCACGAGGCTTTAGTCAGCGACAGGGAGTTGACTTCTTCCATACCTTCTCCCCTACCCCGAAGATGACCACTCTTCAAGTCCTGCTGCACGTTGCCGCTTAGCGTGACTACGAGCTTCACTCTCTGGACTTCAGCACAACTTTCTTACAAGGCAGCCTGCACGAGGGACCTGGTTGCGCCGCCCACCTAGCTTCACTGGGTCGTTTCCTGCAAATACTCAGTGGAGCGACCAGTCTACGGTCTGCGCCAGGCGCCGCGTGAGTGGCACGACACACCGATGATGACACTTGCGGTTCTTGGGTTCGCTCCTTCGACTGCAGACCCGCCGCTGTTTCTGCGCACCGACACTTCGCTGCCGCCGTTCCACATCCTCTTGTACGTCGACGAATTGGTTTTTGCCACTGCTGACACTGAGGCACTGGCCCTTGTGAAGTCGGAGCTGCAGAAGAGACACGCGTGCACAGACATGGGTGATTGCGCAACTTTCTTGGCTTGTTGATTACCCGGGACAGAGCACGGCGCACCATCACCCTGACTTAGTCACACATGGTGCACCAGGTCCTTCAGCGCTTCGGCTTCACTTGGTCCTCGCCACAGTCCACTCCTCTGGCTACCGGTCACTCACTCTCAGCTCCACCTTCGGACGAGTCCGTAGAGCTGAGTGGCCCGTATCCAGAGCTTGTGGGCTGCCTCATACCTAATGACTTGCACTCGACCTGACCTTGCATACCCTCTTAGCATCCTGGCACGCTACGTTGCGCCTGGGAGACACAGGCGAGAGCACTGGGAGGCTGCTAAGAGGGTGCTGCGCTACTTGTGCAATACATCGGGCATGGGGCTCGTGCTTGGAGGATAGGGTCCACTTCCTTGCTCAAGAGTTGCAGCAGCGTGGTCAGCTTCGTCTTGCTTACGTGGCCACTCGGGCCAATACTGCTGATATATTCACCAAGGCACTTCCGCCTGGTGATTATAAGTGTTTC